TTTTTAAAAAACAATGATTTACTAATACAGGGATGGCAAAACTTCCTTGAGGCCTACGTTAGATCCAGGCTGTGGGGTCTACCTCCAGGCTGGATCCAGCCTGGGGAGTGGCTGTCATGGCCACTGCAGCAGCGGTGGGTCTAAAGGCAGTGAAGGGCCTGGGGGTGGCAGCAGTGTTAAGTTGGGAGGTAGTGAGGGATGGAGGTCTGCTGGCAGTGGGAGGTGTTCAGCAGTGGGAGGGGTCCAGCAATGGCAGCGGATCTAGAAGAAGGGGCTTAGGGACATTGGCAGCAAGCTAAGCTCACCACCAATAGCCATGGCCATCAGTGTGAAAGGGCCCTGAATTCTGTAGGAGGTCATGATCCCCAACTGCCATTGGCCCAACCAGGAAGGCTCCATGAGCTGTATGTTTGACATCACTGCTCTAATGTAAAGTGCACAAGAAGTTTAGAGAAGAAGCCTTGTTCTGAAGCCTAATGAGGTAGGCACTGCTTTGGGATAGGGGAATCTTGGGTTTTGACTTTTGCTGCCAGACTGCTTATGCTGTTTATGTTTATATTTGTCATAAAATGGGTATTTACATCCCTAAATGCAGGATCCTATAAGGGTTAATTCAAAACTAACTGAAGCCGATAGGATTCTTTCAACTAACTGGCTTTAAAGAGCTTTGTATCAGATCCTAGGCCACTAAAAATAGGTTTCAGAGTAAAGCTCATCTTATTTAAAATTCAGTCAATCATACCTGAGATAGTGTAGTCTTGTTTGATAACTTTGATATCACCTGAAAGAATAATAATAAAAAAAAGCAAGTATGTGAATGTGAACAATTTTGGCTTCCAAAGGTGATTTTCTTACACCTAAACCTACATAAGTATGCTAGTACAGAAAGGAAAACTCTTAATAAAACAACCATTTATTTCACCAGACACTGTCAGGATCAAATTACTTCTTGACCAGAAAATTTCTCTCATATAAAAAATATCATTTTACTCCAATACCAAGCAAGATTCAGATTAACAAAGCCTATCAGGAACCATGACTTGCATTTAGTGAAAGTTCCTTGAACCCTACGTATTTTGAATGGTGCATTTCAAGCTCTATGAACCAGCACTTTTCTATAAAACTGTTTCTTCAGAAAATTGCTAACCAGCTTAGCTATTAAAACCCTTAGGGTGTTATCTGTCTCTCTAACAAAGAGGAAGAAGCCTTGACCTCCAAAACTTGCTGCTTCTAGGGCTTTCCTAAAAGCTCTCTTTTCATATTGCACCTTCATCCTTGAAGCAGACACGACATAAATGGGCTCCCTGTGGCATAAGTAATATATACTTGTTCGAAATGGGTGGAAAAAAATGGATGAATATGAATGAATTTTGATACCCAGTTGGAGGAACCTAGGATTTGATGGTGTTGCAAGTAGATAAAGAGGTTCACCTACAAAGATCTAATTGTAGCTTGATACATGAGTTAGGTAGGAATCTGGAAAAGCTACAAGTAGGTCAACATTTTTTTAAATGAGTGTTTTATTTAGGGCAACATTTTCAAAGGTACAAATAGGAAATAAGTAACCAGCCCATTAACTAGTGTTTATGGGTGTCACATGGCTCAGGACCATATGTGCTTTTGAAAATATTAATCTTTGACTTGAAAATAACTGTCCCAATTTTTAAAAGTACTGAATGTACAACAGCTCCCAAGAAATAAAATATGCTAGATATTCAATACTTTGACTACTGTGCAGCAAATTTGGACATCTAAATATACACTGTGGGTATACTTTTGAAAGCATAAAATCCAAATTTGCAAAAGTTACTTAGGAACCTGGCAGGATTAATAAGTGCTTCAGTGAGGTAGGTGCCTAGCTCCCATTGATTTTTCATCTTTGTAAATCTACTGATTTAGGCTCCTGAGCCACATTTTCAGAAGACTTCAACATTTCACTCCCAAGTCTCAAGTTCTCAAAAGGATTTAGATGCCTAACACATGCTTATTTCAAATTTATAGCAGGAGTTTGACGTTTTCCTTTTAATGCTTTATATCTTTATATATAAATTTTGAAATGTGACATACACTTTATTGACATCTACTTTAGTCAAAGCAGAAAGTTTATTTCACATCTACCTAGGCATATATGGACTTACATAAATGTAGCAATAATTCTCAATGCTGGCAAGTAGAGCAACCGTGATCATTAAGTTGTACAACTAAAGCAAAGACTAAAGCCCTGTTTTTCTTGTTTTACTGAAAACCTGAGACAATCCTAATGAGGTAAGTGATCATCTCTGATGTTAAAACCTCTCACTTCTCACTGTAATCATGGTCAGCTGATACAATGTATTAACCTTCACAGTTGTGCTCTAGACTAGTGGTTCTCAACCTATTTTGTACCAGGACCTATTTGTAAACATTGTAAACATAGATGGCCAGTCCTGACCCACAGTCCACTGGCCCTGTTGGTGCCCCTTACTTCTAATCCACAGCCCCCTGGCTCTGCTGGTGCCCATCACTCCTGACCCACAGCACCCTGCCCTTGCTAGTGCCCCTCACTCCTGACCCACAGCCCCTGGTCAGGAGTGAGGGTCAGTTCCCCTCACTCTCCAGCCACAGACCCTTGGTCCTGCTGGTGCCTCCACTCTGAACCTCAAGTCTCTTGCCCCCTTGCCATGCTGGTGCCCCTCACTCCCAACCTGCAGCCCTCTGCCACACCCAGCCCTGCCAGAGGGGGCTCCCGGCTGCTTCCCCATCCTGCTCAGGCTGGAGCATGGTGGCTGCAGCTGCTCCAGCTCATGCAGGTGGCAGCAGAGCGAGTCCAACCCCAGCACAGGCTGGAGGGAGGAGGAAGCGAGGCCTGTGGCACCCCACCTGCCCTGGGTTGGGGCTCCCACGCCACTCCAGGCAGCCTAGTTATGGCCCCACCTGCCCCACCAAGCAAAGTCTCTCAGCAGCCCTGCCTCTGAAAGTATGGGCACTAGCCCCAGTGCTGCCAGCCCAGCTATGCAGATCCCCAAAGGACCCCTCATGCCTCCTTCCCTCACTGGAGGGGCAGGTGCCTTTCGCCCTCCCCCTCTACCCTGATGCAGCCTTGATGCCCAGCCACCTTCTCCCAGGGTAGGCAGGCACTCACCCCCTCCTCACTTACCCATCTCCTCCACACCTACCCACCCACACTCACAGAGTTCCCAAGCCCTGGACCTCCAATCCCCAACCTCCAACATTTACATGCATTCAGCTTCTGAGGCTGCTATCATGATCCTTCCTGGCTGAATGCTGGCCACGTGTGTGCGCGCACACCGACGCACATGCACCTGCTGCCTCCACTTGCCCCAAGCAGCTCCTTGCAGGCTGGAATGCTGTAGCCTGTAAGGGGAAACCCATGCTTTCCTGCATTTTCCTGGGACTTGCTCGCAACTCTTTCAAAAATTCTTTCAACCCACTTCTGGGTCGTGACCCATGGGTTGAGAAACACTGCCCTAGATGAAGCAAAACTGGGAGGGCTTAGAAACACTTGGGAGAACAGCATTAGAATTCAAAAGGGTTGTGATTTGAGAACTGGACAATAGACAACAGAATGAAATTCAGCAGAGACAAATGTAGGGTACTATATTGTTTGTCCTTTGAGGGCAAATATGATTGCATCCAGTGAGGGAGAGGTGGGGGAAGAAAAGAGAAAACAAATGGGAAAGAAACAGGGAGGGAGAAAAGAAAAAGGAGAAAAAAAAAGTAAAAAGGAGAAAAGAGAGAGAGGAAAGAGAAAAGGGGGTGGGGGACGGAGGCTAAGTCTTGTGGGTACATAGGTGCCTTATAAGCCCAATCTTTGCCTTGAACAATCTGCTGCAGCAGGGGCAGGAAAGCAATGAGGACTAGGTACAAGAGGTTTTCATTTTCCTGGCCATGCATTTCTTCATTGCTTCTGCTGTGTGTTGCTGTTCGAAGGCCAGTGCTCCGTTTTGGATTGATGATCTCCAGGATGGACAGTCACGAGTGATTTACTCCCATGACTCTAGGTTGATGCCAAAACTCTTCAGGGACACCTTTAGGGTGTCCTTGTACTGCTTCTTTGGTGTGCTGCAAGATCGTACTCCATTTGACAGTTCACTGTAGAAGATTTTCTTTGGCAGGCGAGTGTTGGGCATTCTTGAAAGGTGGATGGCCCATCTTCAATGAACTCAGGTGATTAGTCAAGGACGCACTGCAGAGTAGGAGTTTTGAAGTAATGGGAGCCCAAGAAGGGTGGCTGTGCCTTAAGGAAATGATCCTTCGGGCAGAAAGCGAGACGATCCCGATGCGAG